ATGTATATATATATATCCCTATTTCATTTCTAAAATCTCCACTGAATTATTCATTTCCACCTGAGACTCAAGACTGAACTGACCAACATCAGTAATTTGTATTCAGCAAGCAATCTGGACCATACCTTCCTACAAAAGTGCATCACTGCCAGCAGTTCCTCAAGAATATACTGGAGCCAAGTCTCACTTACAGTTCCAACCACTCTGAAAAATTTCCCATCTTTCATTTAACACGTTTTGTTTATTTAATACTGTAAGTTCTTTGCTTCCTGTTTATTTATCTTTCTAATGCAGAAGCCTTGACATGTATTCAAAAAAGGTAACTTTTGTCTTTATGGGAAAAGAAGCTTACTGAATAGCCAAAGGATGTCTCATACAGGAAAGCCACATAAATGGTGCACGAAGCTGTAAGAATCGCGCTGTTAAATGGGAGACAGGGGCTCCGGAACTGCTGCAGACTTCCTGGCCCTAGGGGGAATACTGAGAAGGTCTCCCAGTTTGAAGAGGAATTGAAATTGTCAGGGAAAGAACAGAATCTGTTCACCCTTAAATTCCTAATTAGAGAACTTATAGTGGGAAATGACCACTTACATGATGAGCAAAAGGAAACTGCCTTCCTTCGTAAGCGGCAAGCTCCTGTGTTCACAAACTGCCATTGTGATTTGTAATCCAGATTATAAGTGGAATAATTTACAATTGGGGTGGTAGTTTTATCTCTATTAATTAGGTTCTCTCTAGAAATTCACATAAAACAGCTTTATATATTATTCAGCTTTATATATTACTCATATACAGCTATTTTTTCTATATGTGAGTTACACTGATGTTAATTCTTTAAACGTCATTCATTTTGTGTTCCAATTCTCATACTTGCCAGTACTTGAACCTCAAAACCAATCAGTATAACTGATTCTCAGTATTCAGTATAATTATTGAGCATATTTAGATTTTTACATATATCAATCTCAGTGGTACAAAAATGCAGAAAATAAAGTGCTTAAGCAGTCTTTAAATTCCTATTTTGTTTTAGCCTTTATGTTTTACATATGGCAAAACTGAATTTCTCTGTCAGAGTTATGTATGCCCATAGGAAAGCGTCATCTTAAAATATGCTAAAACATTAAAAGTAATGTTCTGTAGAATTACTCTGCTATAATTGAGTTATAATTATGCCAAATACCTGGCCAACAGAAGTGCTGTCTAGTTAGAGCTATTAAGAAGGCTCTGATCCCATATTCCTTTGACAGTTTAAGGGATTACTGAGCCTAAGTGTGCTTACATGAGAATGAACAGAAAGTGTGACTGGATTTAGAAATCTAAGTTAATACTCTGCATCAGATTCTCATTATATTAGTTGGGGCCATCCAAAAAGAGCAGACAAGTTGTTTTTCTTGTTGGTAGTGAGATACACGCCATCTGGTAGCTTGGAAATCCAGTCCTGATGTCAGTTCTCTAATAAAAGAATATCCAGAGAAACAATACTTCTGTGTGAATAAAGCCATGGTACTGGAATGCCAGAAACAAATGAAAAGAGGGAAATTTTTCTCCAGAGACTGAAAAAATAAAGCAAAACACAACTGATCAAACAAGTCACAGTTTAATTAGCTGCCTTTTGAAAGGCAAAATGATGGCTGAGGTCAGACAGTGATAGGAATAAGGTGTAAATGAGCTTATTTTGGAGAGACTTTTTGCTTTATTCGGTAAAATTACCCCTATATTTTCCCAGTGAGGTCATGGAATATTTTTTAGGTCTTGCCTAAATATTTACATCTTTTTGATTCAAATTTAGCCACAATTATAATGTAATTTGTTAAAACATATTCCTTTTTCCATTGGCATTTTCTTGCCTACACAAATTCATAAATAGCCAACTTATTGAAGAGACACAAAATATTTCTCCTTCAGCACAATGAGACAAAAGCTGCAAAAAGGGCATACCCCATTGACTTTAAGAAGGTTATATGGAACACATCAGTAAGCGAGGGCAGAATTCCAAAGGCTATATTCAGCCTGAAAAATATGCTGAATAGATGTAATTACAGATTCATGCATTTCTCATTTAAAATGAAAATGCAAAAAAGAAGTGAATTGTCTACGGAGCTGTTATTCTTTAATTTTAGGCGCAGGAGAAACTTCACTGGAAAAGCTCCTTTCTAAGTACATAGTGCAGTCCATGAACAATCAGGCAGATTTCTCACGTGCCCTTACTTGTGGCTGAATAGCATCTTATTCCACAAGTAGTTCCATTGAACTAGGCTGAATGGCACTTACCGAGAATACCCGGATAATACCCTGCCCCATACATAATTACATCAGTTCTTGGCTCTGGCAGCACTGTGGAGGAAGGTGCTATTCATATCTCAGCAGGGTTATTAGAATCTTAGAACCAAGCCCCCAAGCATTTCTTCAGTAACAGAGAAAGAACTGTCACTGCCTTGTCATTCCCAAAGGAGCATTTTGCCTCAGTGTGCTCTAAAGGGGTTCCTCAGTGTGGTTGATGTGACCTTTTTGTCTTTCCTAAACTGATGTGAGACTGAGGTTTCCTTGCTGAAACTCCCAGAGGCGGTAGCAAAACTCCCCAACAGATACACTGAAAAAAAAAACCCTGTGCAGCTCTGCGTGACCAGCTGAAAACTGAACAGCATTTTTTGGAACTGCAAGCCAGTTGAGGCTGGGATCTATATTGATGTGCTGCCGAGCTCCAGCACAGCCTCCCGGAAGCACAGGAGGCAGCCACACTCCTCAGCATTCCCAGACCCATTCCCAACACCTTGGCTCTTGTGTGTGTACCAGAGATACCCAATGGTGAGAGCCAGCCTGTCTGACTCAGCTGTCCTCCCTCATCAAACCTAAGGAGCCACACAACAGTAATATACTACTACCTATTTTATTTTTTAATGAGAAAACAGAAGGAAGCAATGTCAGCGTTCTAATAAATAACATTCTAATAAATGGCCCTGGCACAGCTGCCCAGAGAAGCCGTGGATGCCCCATCCCTGGAGGTGTTCAGGGCCAGGTTGGATGGAGCCCTGGGCAGCCTGAGCTGGGGGTTGGCAGCCCTGTCCATGGCAGGGGATTGGAACTGGTTGATCTTTAAGATTGCTTCCAACCCAAGCCATTCTGTGATTCTATGATTCTAAAATGTTAAATTCAACAAACTAATACAATCAAACGAAAGCATGTTTAGTTAAGCAGAGATACTCAAGGAGGAACTTGTTCAAATGAAATCTCTCTATCAACCTGTATCGAGTGCTCCCACCAAAGAGCAAAGCTTGCCAGCCCTTCCCAGTGAGCAGCCACTGAGATCAGAACACCCTACACATCCAGAAAGGGTGTCACCTTCAGGCCAGGTTTGAAAACTATAGAGGAGAGAGGAGAAAACCAACACCTGCATTTGTATCACACCTCCCATGTGAGGAAGGAACAGTACTTCACCATGCTGACAGACCTTTCCAGCCCATGACCATAAATAACATCCACGACTGCAAAAAGTATTTGAATGCTCTGCTGCACAAAACCGACTTATCTCTAAGTACAGATGAGATGAAATCAACAACACAGAAGTCTCATCAGAAGGTTGCCTCTGTGTCCTTCACTGCTTACCACCTGGGTGTGAAAATCAGTCTCCAAAAGGCAATTTTGTTGCATTACACTGTGATCACAGCATGGCACGCTGCTCTGCACTCACATGTGTTCAAACCCCTCTTCACACATACACAAGCTGTTCTCAGAACAGTTCTGAGAGTACATGTATCTGATTTTAGGAGGCTTAACACGTGAGGAAGGTGGCGTGAAAACTTCTTGGATGTTTTCATGTAAGGCATTTGTTGCCCAACCAGTCTGAGAGAAGTATTTTAGATCAAGTACTCTACTTTTAGAAATAAGTAAGTTTAAAAGTGACATTAAAATGTTACCAATGTAGGGATAGTGCACTGTAAATAATGGCTGGCTACATTCATAGTATTCACAGTTGCATTTTTCCACTGAGCTTTCAGGCTGGGGGTGAAAATACTTCCAAAAAGCAGTTCCTGCCAACGACTAGAGCTCGGTACAGAGCTGCTGTCACTGTCACCTCACCCCGATCTTTGTTACAGAGCCTCACGGTTTCAGAAGCAGCACCACCTATTGGGTGGAAATGTAGGTTAGTGGTTGCTCCACCACGACAGCCCTATTGTAGAAGCGGTCACGGCTAGAACGGGCTGACGCTCCCAAGTTTCTCATACTTGAATGCAAGCGAACAACACGTACTTCCTAGTGATCTACTTGACAGAACCTTATAAAGTCCATAATCACGCTCGGTACCATAGAAACCCCATCACTCAGGCTCCTAATATTTATATGGTGAAGGATTAACAGGGCTTCTGGCAGTGCCAACCGCCTCGCGCTGCTGTAGTAGCAGTGAGTAGCAGCACACTATTGCCATCATGCACTCCAGTTGCACAGATATCAATGAGCTGAAAATTCATTTGGTTACATAAGGAGTCCTACTGAAATCTATCTGAATCCATACTCTGTGTGGAATCCGTGTCCCACATGAACAATTGAATATTTTGCTTTTCACGGCTGCAGCTACCTCTTGTTTTAGGGGAATCACTGACGTAACCAGTTCTTGGAGAACAAGTCTTTCTCCGGGGGCGGGGGGGCTGAAATTTTGCCCCCATCCCTGAGTTCCTTTACAAACACTTCACGTAAGAGGCGAGAGCCCCATTTCCCAATACAGGGCCTCAGGGACGCTGCTCGGTGCAGGTGCCGCCCGCGGGGCTCCCGCCGCCCCCGGACCCGCGGGACCCGCGCCGCGCTGGAGCCGGGGCGCCGCGGAGGTGGCGGAAGGGCAGGTGACCGTCCCAGCCGCGGGTGACGCCGCGTTTCCTCGGGGTCGAGCGGCCGCTCGTCGCTCTCAGCCAAAGGGGAGAGGGAGAGGGGGAGAACGGCGCCGGAGCCGGGGGGGGAGGAAAAGTTGGTGGGAAAGGCAGAGCTCTGTCCGTGGGAACATCACTCACCCGCTCGGATGATACAGACGAGCTGGATGCAGGCAACCCAGCGCCTTAGAATGAGCATGTCCAAATCGTCCCGTTCCCCCTCCCGTCCGCCGCTCCGTCCGTCTGCCTCAGCCGCCGCCCGTGCGGAGCTGCACCTCTCGAGGGGAACGGCTCCGCGCCGCGCCCCGCGGCCGCCCCCACGCCGCGGGCGGGCCCAGCCGGTGTCGGGTACGGAGTGCGGAGCGTCGGATGCTGTGTACGGGATGTTGCCTGCTGCCGGGGCCGCGCTCAGCGCATGGCGGGGCTGCGCCGGGGCCGCCCTCCGCGGAGCGGCCGCGAGTGCGTGCGGCGAGCGCGCGGCGGGGCCGGGTGCGTGTGCGCGCGGGTGCGGGAGCGCGGAGTGTATGTCGGGGCGCGGGGGCGCGGGGGGGCGGGGACCGCGCGCGGGTGACGTGTGCGCGCGTGTGAGTGTGTGCCTGTGTGTTTGTGTGTATCTGTGCCTACGGGGCTGTGCGAGCGAGAGCCCGAGGGCAGCGAAGGGCTGCCCCCCCCCTCCCAGCAGCCGGGAGGGGGCGGGGGCCGGGCTCTGGGATCCTCTGTGAGGCGGCCCTCCGGGATACCCCCGAGTGCACACGGCCACGCGAGGGAAAAGTTTATCGAGGGGGCTCGGGGTTGTCAGAGGGCGGCGGGGTCAGAGGCCGGGCGGTGCGGGGCCAGAGAGCATCGCAGCCCGCTGCTGGGTGGGAATAACCGCTGGGCCCAGCGGGGTGGGAGCTGCCGGCGAGGAGCTGGTGGAGATGCAGACAGCGCCCGAGCCGGGCAGCGCCGCTCCGTGATCCTGGGAACCGGAGGGGGAGCGGGGGAAGGGGCTGGAGCGGCGGAATATCATTATCCGCTCTAGAAGTGGGTCAGGGCGCAGGCACTGGCATCGCTGCTCAGGGAAGACAAAACAAGAGCAAAAAATAAAAGTAAAGGGAAAGAAAAATATATGTAACAACGCTCAACAAAACCCCAAAGCACCTAAATGAGAAGTGTAAAATTAAGGGCCACAAACACCATGTCACACAGCTGGGACACCTTGGAGCAGCACTTGGGGCTTTGGGAGCATGAGGACACAGCCAATCCCCCGCCTCACCCAGGCAGTGTAAGCAGCGCTGTGTTAGTGGTGATGTTCCTGTCAGGGTGGTGGGAACAGCTCTGCACAGATGTGAGGTGACATTTAATGGTGGGCAGCCTTAGAACAACAGCGCCCAGTGCCTTACAGGTGGGCATGCTGCTCTGCCCTCCTTCCCCAGCTATGGGAGCTGCAGTCTTTCCTTCCAGGAGAACGTAAAACTTTCAGTGCCCCTGCTCTGGCTGGGGAGGGTAGAGCTCTCTTGTCATGAAGCAAATCGGCAAATTCAGAGTGAAAGGCTGCAGGAGAAATTGCCGAGGTGTTCAAGCTTTGTGTCTGAAGAGCAGGCGGTGGACATGTCTCCCATGCAAGGTCAGCATCTTTCAGGATATGCAGAGCTGACATATACTAGAGGTTGGTTCATTAGGAGGATTAGCTCTGAATGACAGCTCTTGTCCAATGGACTCCTGGTGTCATGGCAAGAGACAAGTTCCATGTGCTGATATCCCCCAGAAAAAGACTGTTTTAGGATTATCCTAAAGGAAAATGTTGTTAAAGATTGTAGTCAGCTGACTTTCCTGAAAGAACCCAGATGCTAGCATACTACTGCAGTAACTTCAGTGCAAACATGCTCAAACACAGACAGACATATGCATGCCAAAGCATTAATGCCAGTGGGTAATCTATTCGAGATTCACGTCAACTCCAGCACCATTCTGCAGTTGGCTTAGATGCTTAGCAGCAATAGGAATTGTACAATATTGCACTGGTATTACTGAAATACATAGTATAAAATACACAGTTAAAGGTCACAGGTGGGAAAGAAGGAATATTCAGTCACTCTGGAGGTGGATTCTCACCACCACACCTCTACACAGACACTTTATTACAGACCAGTGCAGGGTGATATATGGTCATCTGGCGCTGCCATTGCCCACAGGACAGTGGAAGGACATGGCTGCCAGGATCCCCCTCCACCCGGCTTTCCTCAAGCTGGGAGGTGGATGTGACTTGCTCACGAGTACATGTGAGCCTGTAGAGCTATCAGTTCCCCTCCATCCTGTGGGGATCAATTTTTGTCTCCAGATTTCAGATGTTTTCAAAGCTTTGTGACAAGGCTAAAGGATTACCTCCAACAGCTACTATTGCAGTTATCTACACAGGGAGGTAATAGAAAAGGTTTGGGTAGATCAGCATCCTTCTTTCTTGTAGGGTTTCTTTAAGAATTCCCTTTTATTTTCATCACAGACCCATCACAAGCACCCACACCAAAGGGCAATCACAACATTGATAGGTGGCATTAAATATTTCCTGATTTTCCACAGTAAATTGCCACACAGAAGGAATCTGATTCTGATAGTCTTTTTGCCAATAGTTAGCTTTGCTTTCGGTAGGTGACACACTGATTTTTTTTTACCGGGAGAACGGTGAACATTTAGGAGAGATCACCAGTGTTGTGTCAGGTTCTCCATCATTTGAAACCTTTGCATCAGGAATTTAATGACCTTAAAACATGACCACAAATGTCTATACTAACTCATGAGCAGTTTTGTACCCTGGACTGCAGAGGCAGTAAGGATGGGCTGTAAGGCTCATCTCTGGCCTGTCTCTGTATATGCATATTGTCAGGATAACAACAAAATGATAATATCCTGATGTTCACAGCCACTTTCAATAGTTGCCAAAGGTTTAGAAAAGACACAAGCCCTGGTACCAGTTGCTACAACACCTCTGTGGTTTTTGCACTGAAGAATGATTGGTGAAGGATTTTCTGTGCGGTCTGATAAACTCTTGGCTGTGGTATCCTCACCTTTAGCATTCATATCATGGTGTTTTAGCTTGTCCTGATATCCAGTCAAACTCACCAGAATTAATTTGGAGAAAGTGTTAAGTGCCAAGCAAACTGACTCAGTAGCTATACTGACATGGTATCTATCACTGTGCCTACTTTCTCACATATAGGTAACCCACAACGTGACACAATAGCAAGTAGACATGAAAAAAGCTTGAGGTAAACATTTCAGATTTCAATTTTTTCAAAATATAAGTCTTCCTTTAATCAACATACCCTTTAGTAAATATTTTGAGGTATACATTAAAATTATCTTCTATTACTTACTATTTCCATTTGTGGTTCTGTGGACACTAGCAGTCTTGATGAGATACTGATTGCTCTGTGCATTCAGTATTTCCCCCTTTTCCTAAGCGTTTCCTCCTCTTATGTTTTTTTACTTATTTAATTTTCCTTCCTCTATCCCTCTCATGTGGCATTGAATATTTTTTTCAAGTCTGCTCTTCTTATCCATTGTTATTTTTTTTCTCCAAGTGAAACTCTCTTCAGTGCTGGTACTGTATTTTCCTTTGTATTGTGACAATCTTGTTATTTTCCAGGGTGAGTCATTCTGTGTCTTGTTCAGCTTTTTTTTTTTTTTTTTTCCCCCCAGCTTGTTTAGAGTGCCTATGGCTTTTTTTGTTTGTTTGGGGTTTTTTGGTGCCTTTTTTCCTTTTCTTTTTCCCAGAACAATGCCAATTTGTTGCATTTATCTTCTTCTTCTCTTGTGGTAAATGTTTTCATTTCCAGCACTGTCTTTGATATTTATCAAATTCTTTTGGGGTTTTATATGCAGCTTTTACTGTCATTTTTTTTCCCCTCATACAATAGTTGTACGAACAGCATCTGTTGGTATGCATTATACAGTATGTTAACAAAGAATCTGGTGGTCTTTCCTTTTTAGTTTGTACTTTGCTGAAGAAACCCACATGTAAATTCCAAACATTAAAAAAATGTGTGTGCAAATGCTGGTAATGGTTATGACAGCCATCATAAGGAATATTATCATCTATGAGAACGTGAGAACCTAATTAGGCTTAACAAGGCCAAGGTGTTTCACTTGGGTTGTGGCAATCCCAGATATGAGTATGGACTGGGAGAAGAACTCCTTGAAAGCAGCCCTGCAGAGAAGGACTTGGGAGTCATCCACCTGGTGGATAAAAGCTGGACATGAGCCAGCAGTGTGCTCTTAAGCGTGGAAAGCCAGCTGTGTTTGGACCTGGAGCCTCTGCACCAGAAAGACATGGAGCTGTTGGAGCAGGTCCAGAGGAGGACTGGAAGATGATCAGAGGGCTGGAGCACCTCTCCTACAGAGGAAGACTGAGGGAGTTGGACTTCTTCAGCCTGGAGAAGGCTCTGGAAAGACTTCATTGTGGCCTTCTAGTATTTGAAGGGAACTTACAAGCAAGAGGGGGATTGACTTTTCACGTGGTCTGATAGTAACAGGACAAGGGGGAACAGACTTAAACTAGAAGAGAGGATTTAGGTTAGATATTAAGAAGAAATTTTTCACTCAGAGGGTGGTGAGGAGCTGGAACAAACTGCCCAGAGAAGCTGTGGATGCCCCATCCCTGGAGCATTCAAGTCCGGGTTGGATGGGGCCCTGGGCAGCCCTGACTATGGCTGGAGGACTGGGACTGGATCTGTAAGGTCCCTTTCAATACAAGGCATTCTATGAATACACCCATGATAAATGGCACAAGAAAACCTGAATTCATTAAGCAGTTTTTAAATTTCAAATGTGTCAGAACACTGTCAGAATACTGTTCTTACCATGGGTATCTAATGTTAAGTGAGTGGCCCTTTATATTGAGTAACATTAGCATAGAATCTCAAACTTTTTTTTTTTGGTAATAAGGTATAAAATGCAAAGTAAAAGCAGTATTTTTGTTTACGTCAGTTTTGTTTGACCTATTAGCAGAGTTTCAAGATTACTAAACATTCATTAACAAATATATAAAGACTACATTTGGTATTTAAAGGGAGGTCCATTTCTATGTAAAGCTGTCTTATTTTCACTTTGGAGTTTTGGTGTCAGGCATTACTCTCCAAATTTGACTGCTTCCAAGAACATAGAAAAAGAAGAAAAAAGGGAGACACAAAGAAAGATGTGCCCCCTTACCAAACAGATGGAACTGAATTGCCTTTCAAAGTTAAGCCCCAGAG